ATTATTTTGCTGTTTCTCATGAGTGAGAACTGTTCTTGATAAAGTAGCAGTGTGTTGGTAATTCCCTTTCCAGACTGATAAGAGCCAAGGATGGATGCTGTGTGGCATGATAACAATACAGGATTGTTCTGGTTTCCTTCAGTGTGCCTTGTCAAGGGAGSAGCAGATAAATCAGAACAAATTGGGTTTCCCCACATCTTCCCTAATAGCTTCTCACTTCTGAAGGAAAAACACAATCATTTCTGCAGGAATGCAGTAAGTAGCTTTTCACACATTTTTGGCTCATCCTGCCTATCAGAGATGGTAATCACAGAGAATCAAAAGCAGCAGTGACAAAACTGGGAGAATAAAATACTTCTGAAAACCACAATTTCATAATATTTGTTCAGAACAGTTTCCTAACTTTGAAAGGAAGCTGGATTAGAGGATGAAAAGCGTAGTTTTAACAGAGAAATTGTTTCCAATGACATTTCAAGTTGCTTTTTCTAGCAGTTGAGCAGTTTGCTGGACTTTCAGGAGTTGCCKTTGAGGAAGACACAGAAGATTTGTTAGAATTTAACTTTTCTAGAACCTKAGCAGCATTTGCAAGCAGGTTTTAGAGAGTTGTGTAGATCTGTCTGAAGAACAGTGTCAGTTGTAATTACAGAGACAAAAGCTTACAGGCAGCTCTGCTGCTCAGGTTTCCTCCCAGAGCTCTGTTCCAGCTGTGCAGACAGACAGATTGCAGCTGGCTCTGGGAAGGGAGATGTAAAGAGATTCCTGATTCCTTCCCCCCCATGGTGAATGGCTCTCCAGGATTTCCTTGCCTTCCCAAAAGCAAGTTGTTCTCCACTCAGGTGGTCCAGGGCCCCAGGGTGATGGGGAAGTGCTGCTTCACTCTCACCAGTGGACAAGGACAATGTCCCAGCTGTGCTTGGAAAGTGGCTCCTCCTCTGTCCAGTTCACAGTGACAGAAGGGGATGAAGATTTGTTGAGCAAGAATGACACTCGAGGCTTTAGCAATGCTTAGTGCAGAAGGAAAAAAGGTTTAGCTGTGGAGAAGGAGTGCATGTAACAGGGAACAGCCATGTTCACCTCCCAGCTAAGCACATCTGACCCTTTTGATCAGAAATCAGCTTTGTAGTCCAGGAACACTCCTCAGGCCTGTCCACCTGCAAGTTTCTCTTTAACAAAACCAAAGGAGGGTTTAACATGGGGAGAACACCTCTGCAAAAAGAAAAKGCTGAGTCTGTTTAACTTGGGACTGACCAGTTGTGCCTTTCTCTTGTGTTGTTCCTCAACACTTTATTAATAATGTGAAACAGTAGGATAGAGCAGGGAGCAATGAGACTGAAATTCTCAGAGATCAAGACTTGCAGCCTCATTAGAGAGGCAGTTTTAGTGCTGGAAGGCAGAAGCAGCTCTGATGGATCATTGGCTTTTCTTGGCAAAAAATTTGACTCAGCTCTGATGAATATAGGGCATAGCTCTTTGCATCTAATTTTAAAATTATGGAAAAAGTAGTTTATGTCTGTTGTTGCTGCAGGAGAGGAAAAATTTGAAGGGGAAAGACAGAAAGGGAGACAGTGAAATTTGCGGTTCTTTAGCTGAGAGGTGCCAAAACGTAAGAGACTGTCGGGACAATTGCTTCAATAAGGAATTTTTAAAGCCTTTCCTGATTAAAAAAAAAAAAAAAAAAAAAAAAAACCAAAAAAAAACTTAAAAAAATAATTCTCTGTCTTCAGAAAAAAAAAAAATGTGGAAATCTAACTCTTCCATGAGGACTTTTTATATCAGGTTGGCAGCCAGAAGGAAGCCAGAGGCGTGCAAGGGCCAGCCTTGACATCAGTTCAGCTCTGGAGCCGAGCYCTGTTGGACATCTGTGTGGCTGTGCTCTCCCTGCCTGAGGCTGCTCACTGCWTCCCACCATGAGCCTGTGCTCCACTTGTTCCTCAGACTGACAGGCATTCGATGTTCAGGCTGAAATTTTCCATACCTGATGTCTGACTCAATATTATTTTAGTTTTTTTTTTGCTTTCTCTGTCAAAATGGTTTTATCACAGTGGAGGATGRAGTCCCTCCTTTATCCATGAAAATAAGTTTTCTGTATCCCTACTGTGAATCACAGATGTGAAATTTTGACACCTGAGGAACTTTWCTTGGCCCAGAGGGCCAAGTCTACCCAGAGCCCATAGTCTACTGCTATCTTTGAAAAAAATCCACATGGATGTGAAAGCCTCCAAGAGCAGCAGCAGAGACCATGGGTGCAGGTGACCTTCTTCCCCCTGAGACCACAGGGATCCGATATCCAGGGATTGGGAGCTCCTGGATTTGCCTGTGGGAGGAGCAGAAGATGAATACTGGTGGAAGAGGGCAAGACTTAGGTGAGGAGGATGAGAACATCTTCGGAGACCAAAACTAGAAATGGGTCAGGAAAAGGAAAGTCAGGGAAGTTATGACCACAGGAACAAAGCAAAAAGGGAAGGGAGGACCAYGGTCAGATATGACCGGAAAGCAAAAGTGACCATTAGGGCTGTCTCTGAAGAACTTGGACAGAACTCCTGAGGGTCTGAGAGAGAAGAGGGATCCTATCCAGGCGGAAGAAAATGGGAAAGAGGGAAGCACTTGGATAGCACAAATAAGAGACCAGGGTGAAAACTGAGTCCCTGAGTCCTGGAGGTGAGAGAACACAGGTCAAGAGTMGGGAGTAGGAAAGGTCAGGAATGGAGAGAGGAAGGAGGAGCTCTGACAGGCAAGGAATACATGCACATGGTGGGGAAAAGGGATTCCTGTGCCCAGAGGAGGATCATGGTTTGAAAGGCTAGGAAAAGCCAAGTGCCATGGASATACTTGCTGGATCACAGCAGCTTGTACAGAAGCTTTTTAATGTTCATACCTTCAGTCAGGATATTTGAAACAGAATGAGAGAGTATTTAAATCCTTGGCCCCCCAAAACTCTATTGCATGATCCCACACTGGCACCACCTGATGGTTTAAAGCATAAACAGGTTTAAGATTTCAGGTGTGCTGGGCAGAGCTCACCTAACTTGGRTTCACAGAACAGGGGCAGAGCAGGTTGCTGTGCTCAGCCCTTCCTTGGCCTCATTAGTTGTGTGTTACCTGCATCCTGACCTTGTGGGATTTATCCAGACAATACTGCTGTTCATCTTAAAAAACTTCACAAAATAAAAGGGAGGGTAGATGAATGCAAGATGTCATTTCTGCGTACTGCAAATTCAATTTGAGGTGCAAATGGTAAAAGTAGTCATAACCCTGTGTCCCATCCAACTCTGTAACATGAAGRACTTTTTGTGCTGTATTTCCACATATCTACACACACAGAGCCCACAGGTCATACAAGAGAAAACAACCCAAAAGCTAACATCCTATGTAGAACATTAAAAAAAAAMCAAAACTAACAGTTTAGCCAAAAATCTCTGTCTATACCAAAAGAGCCAGAACAAGAAGAAAACCATTCTTTTCCTTTTGCCAATCAGCTGCCAATGGAAGAGAAATATAGCCCTTTCTGAGCATGWCCTATAAGATTCCTTTAGGATAGCCTTGGAAACTATCAGTGCATTGTTTCAGGAACAGTAGCCTGGGGCTAAGCTGGCTGCTTGACAGAGGTAGCCAAATTTCAGTGAAAATGATCACATTTGTACAATTGTTGGGTGGACAATCCTGTCACAGTGAATAAACTGTAAGCCAGTTCAAGCTAGCAAGAAGAGCTCTTGCATTTACTCTAAGCAAAGTGGATATGGATTGAAGGTTTATAATTAAAAGACTTTTTAGTGGTTTTACTATTGTGCTGAATAAACTTGTGTCCCACATGAGGACAGAATTATCACCCCTGCCAATTCTAAAATGGTTACTATTCTGTACTAGAAAGCACATTCTGGTTCAAATAGAGCAATTCCTACAAGTATGAAACCAGTGATTTGTCACGCAGTGCACGAAGTTAACGTATTAAACCAAGCTGATTACTCGGCTCCTAATGTCTTCAAAGCATTGATTGCTGAGGTTGTAAATTAAAAGCTTGTGAGCAGTCAGCAGGTATCAGCCATCCTGGGGCACACACTGCTCACCACTGACTGATTGGGCTGGCAGCAGCAGTCTGCAATAAGGCACACAACTGAACATTTCTTTTCTAAAGCACAGGTCAGCATGCAGCAGGCTCACAGACTGGTGTGTGGTCATYGTTTGCAAGCAGGAGGTTTTTCTGAAGTGAAAACAAAAATATTAGCTTGTTTTGCTCTGCTAGGGAAAAACAAATAATTTGCTCTGGACCACACACTGAATTAATCATTTTTGGTCAGACTGCACATGTAGAAACTTGTTCCAGTTTTTGTTCTGCTTTTTCTAAATGATTGTCCTGGATATTCTCACATTTCAAAGTCAGATTTGAAAAATCCTACTCTTGTGGTAAGGCTTCASCTTAAATTTTGTTTCATGTGTTATAGTCAGAAGAAAAGTTAATTTTCAGGCAACGYGCCCTATTATTACTAGTTGCTGTTTATTTTAAAATTCTATATAACGTCTTCTAATGAAGCAAAAGAAAAATGTTTCTCTGATTTCTGCAAACAAGTGAACAACTGATGAACACGTGTTTTACAGGGAAAGTTTCAACACCAGCATACTAATGCCTGCAATTATAAATAACTGAAATTAAAAAGTGTATTTAACAAATAACCTAAATACTCTGACTCACACTCTTTCCAGATTTTTCTTTTAGTTTGCATGACTGAARCTAAAATTTTAACTCAAGAACAAAGTATACAAGTACTTAATAACTACTACTACAATAAAAAGTAATAAAATAGTAAACAGAGAATGTGGATTTAAATTCCCTGTAGATTAATTTTGCTCTGTGACTSCTAAACATCTCTGCAACTAAACCATCACCAAAGAATAAACAATAACCCATTACCAAAGCAGCAAGAAACCCACTACCTTGCACCTTAAATGTAGGTAATTCTGGCAACTTGAATTATTAAGAACCACAGTAAATAAAGTTCGCTTACCTTCACAGATCCATTCTCATAGTCAGATCCTTGCAGCAGATGTAGAAAAGAAACTATGAAAATATTCACAGTTGCCCACGGTTTGTACATTCTGATGTTTAAAATCCACAGGTTACTACGCAGTTGTTGCCGCACAGCTGGAGGGGTCTGTTTCAAAAGGCATTTCTCTACCACCAACACAGGAAAGAAAAGCTTCCAGAATTTCTCTTATAAACTCACAAAGGATTCCAACATCTGAGAGAAAATTCTGTCTCTTTGCTGCTCAAAACAATTGTAAGTTCATCTAGAGAATGTAATTTCTTAGAGCAGATCTTAGATACACTTGAAATAAAATCATGATAAGGTTTTAAATAGATATATATCTGTATGTGTACACATACACACTCACAAATGATCAGGTGTGGATTCCAGTTAATGAAGTTAATATATCTTCCATGAAGATAGAAAGAAACATTCAAAATCCATCTGTGGTCCAGAAAATGTAAGAAATCTGCTCGATTCTGTGCTCCGTGTCACAGCAGGCTTTTAAGATGGTAGTGTAATGGCCAGTGTTTTGAGCTGAGAGCTGTAATCCAACTCTGTATTAAAACTTTTTTCACAACCTTCATGGAAGCTTGCAGAAGCATGTGTCTTAAATCTGATACAGACTTTGGCAGTAACACAGGCAAATTTTGGCTCAAATCCCATTTTCTTCCTACCAATAGCATAGCAGTTTTTAAAGTAACTGATGCAATCTAGACTCCCATTATTTTAAAGAAGATTACCTGAAACATGAAACTTCAGCACACGTTCCTGCACCACACACATATTTCAAGTTACTTCTGTGAAAAAAAAAAAGAGGGAGGGAAAGGAAAAGAGAAAGACTGACTTTCTTTCATGTGTTCTATCTTATGTGTCATAGGAGTTTCTGAATAAATTTTAAAAAGCAAAGTTAAGAACTGTATCAGCAAATAATATTTTGATTTTTTAAAAGAAAACTCATGAAGCTACAGATATAAAAAGACAAAATCTATTTTGTTTGCAACAAAACACAGCCAGCACTTCTGCTCCAAGATAAGTATATATATTTTTGCTGTATATTTCTGCAGTTTAAAACAGAGATTTAAAACACAGAGAACAATAATTTAAAATTATAACAGGGACAAAGGCTCTGATAATTATGCACATTAAATCTACATTGTTGTACTCATATATATTGTGTTCAGGAGAATCGTTCCACTCTCACATGTCATAGTGTTTGCAGAATCAGACTTTGAAGTTGTTAACACAAAACAGTCATTACTAAATACTTCTGAGTCCTGGTTTCCCACCTTTGATGTCCAAGTAAGTGCCCTCTTAAATACAACTTACACTTCTCTACCTACCATTGGGTTTAATAATTTCTTCTTAAGTATTCATCACAAATGGACATTAGAAAGAAAATTACTTTAATCCTATATTTCCAGTTGTTGTCTGTTAACTGTCATTGGGTTTTTAAAAAATAATTATAATTCTATTATTTTTTAGCTTTGTCTTTTCCCACTTGTCTTGTGAAAGCAATCTATTTCTTTTTTTTTGCTTCCTCCCCCACACTGGTTAGTACAAGGGCAGCAGGAATTTCACCTCTTTGAAATGGGAGTGAAAAAGCTGCTTTGTCAGTGTACCTGCTGCTCCCCCTCACACTCCCCTGCACCCAGAGATATTCACAGTTTTGTAGACCCCTCACGACAAGMCTCACCCTGTGTCTGTGCTGTAGTTTACAGTGAAAATACTCTAACCATTTAATTCATCATTTAAAGTTATTGTGTTATCCAATGCTTATGTWCAGTGACCTTGACCTCATTTAATGTCTGTGTTTCACTCCTGACACCAATATCCATCCCCTTGCAGGAGCTGAAAGCCTGCTAAAAGAAATGGATATGCCTTAGCCTCGGATGCACAGCTTCCCTGTAAGGGATCAAACCAAAAATAACCACAGGACTACATGAAAATAACTTTCTATCGACCTGCACTTTACTGGAGGGAGTGTCTGGCCATACTCATCTCTCATTTATGGATCATTTGGAGCACAGACCCAGAATCACAAGAGCAATACGTGCCCTGATGCCTTCAAGCCTGGGATCCTCACACATCCCAACTCCAGCACAGCTCAGGGATGAGCTGCTCTGCTCCTGTGCTAGGGCTGGGACCAAAACCCCACAAACTGCCCTTAAGGGACCCTGAGCAATCTAGCATTAGAAAATTAAGGCTGTTTGGTTTGGAAATGTTGGAGGGAAACACCTCAATAGTATTTTCTGTATGTTTTATTTCATCAGTGTTACTTAACCAAATTCAGCCCTGGATTACAAATACATTTGGAAAGACCAGGCCTTTTTCTTTCTCAAAGCAAACCATTCATCAGAAAAGGTCACCCACCTCTGGCTTTAGGAGGCTTTTAGGCAGGAAGACTGAGCTGACCCTCAGGCACTGAATCAAACTCCTTTATACMAGAGCAAGTTAGATGCTGCAGGCAGAAGACAAAAAGTACCCAACCTCTCCCTTTGGACTCAGACWCAAAGACCAGCAAAGAAGGAAAAAACCCTTTTGTTAACTGCAGAGGACTTTAAATGTGGCTCAAAGCTGTTGGTGAAAACAGGCAAAGCAAGAGAAACCAGCTGATAGGACAGCAGAGAAATTCAGATAATGAATATCTGGGAAACTCTTTTCACCATCTGTATCACYGTGCCCATCCTCTTCTCTATAGTTCTTGTCTCTCTCCTCAAATCAGGAAAAGAATCAGTTTTCCCTTCAGCACCACCTCAGCCCTGGTCCTCATACAGCTTTCTTATGATTTTTCCTGCCTACTGTTTGAGAACAATTTAAATACTTTAATGCTGGAGCTCAAATCTCGGAAATATGTTGAGATTATATTGCAGACTGCCTGCAACAGCAGTGAACGGATTTGCTGTCTGGCCAGACACCTTGTTTTCATTTAAATTATGAACACAAGTTAGCAATACACACACTCTAGTTTCTTCTTTTTTATCTCAGTCAGCTATTGTAGGACCACCTGCTCTGTTCTGTGCAGAGCCTGGTTTTTTACTTCTTCTAAAATCTAATACTGTCTAAAAGSGGGCCTAAATAAAATTTACATGACTATTTACATTACTTCTGTAGCTGAATAATCAGCTCCACTGACATCAACAGGGCTAACTACTGCATAATGAACTGAAATTTCAAACATTTATCCCTCCTTCGGGTAAGAAACTAATATATTAATATTTTGGCAATGCTCTTTGCAAGAAGAGCTTACAATTTTGTTTAGTTAAATCTGTTTTTAATATTGATCAACACCGATGTCTCGAATAGATGTACAATATAGATTAAAAGTTTAAATCTATTTATTTGCAAGCATTAGGTATGATTTTTTCAATAATATTTGAAGTATGAGTCTTTCTCCCGAATAGTCTCACACATTGCACAGAAATCCCGAATCACTGATTTCTGTCCTCTGTTTTTGTAATGGAAGAGAACATAAATGACCCAGAATCTGGTAAATGAACGGATTAATCATCATTTCTTGGTGCTTTCTACTAAGTTTTAGGATAGAATATGCAGACCAAGTGCAGCTTATTTACCAAAATTGCTCACTGTGGTGCACTGAGGGCTCTATACTCAGATTTCACAGGACATAAAGAGAAAAAAGGCCAGTACAGGTGACAGGAACGCAAAAAAACCCACCATATTTAACACCAAAGGAAGATATTTCAGGCTTTTAACACAAGAGTAACCCATAAATCAATAGGTCTACTCAAATCAAGGAAGGTTTGTGAGAATATGCCCTAAATARACTCCAATTAAATTGATCAGTCTCATTTTGCAAAGTTGAAATTGGAGACAAAGACAGTTCATAGCCTTTACTTCAAATAAAGTATTGTTTCACCAACTACCCCAGACTTGAGAACTCCACACCATTAGAAGTTTCAGTATGGCACAATGTTCAGGATAATAATATAATTCCCAATGAAGGTCATTMAGTATTTTCAGGATGATTCTATAAGCAGAGCTGTACATTCTCCCTAAATAATCCATACACAGAGGAACTTTTGTTTTCTTGAAAACTACATAGAAAAAGAAAAATCGGGGCAGTTTATAAAATAAACTTGCAAAGCAAGGAACTAAGACTGAATAAAGCACTCATGACATAGCAGTTATATGGCAATCTGGTCACTCAGCATATGTCATTTAACTAATTAACAAGTAATTATTAAATTAAAAACACTTTAAAATAAAGCAATATTTATTAAAATGGCTACTGGCATCATAAATTTCTGTCAAATAGCAGAATGCTTGAAACATCACACTAACGCTAAGCTGGATTGATATTTAGGCGAAAAAATATGCAAAATCCTATCCACAGAATCTCAGATTCAGCGCACAAGAAGACTCTGCCAAAGCTGGGCTGGCGGAGTGATGGAACAGCACCACACAGGCACATCCAGAGCCGTCCCTTTCACCATCCTCAACGCTGCTTCACCTCCTCAGGGGATGCTTTAGCTGCCCTGAAATGGGATCATTTATTTGTGCGCAGCAAACCCGGAGCTGCGAGCAGGATCCCAAACCTGCCCGGGGAGCGGGGAAATCCCACGGGGCGCCTGTGCTGTGCCCGGGGCTGCTCTCCTGCCTCATCCCGCTGGCTGGGCTGGCTGGGAATGCCTGCACAAGCTGCGGACACACCCTTGGCCCCAGGGCAGGAGCGCTCCCTGCTCTCGCTGCATCCASGCTCGGCTCTCCCCTGCTCCAGGGAGGGACGCCCCTGCTGATGGAGGAGCGCTCTCAGCAAAAGGCAGATACAAATCACAAACAAACAGTGCTGGTTGAACTTCTGAGAGATGTAAACACCTTGGAAACGGTCTGGTTTTGAATAGCCTCTGCCCCAAACTTGTGAAAGTGCACAGCTGCCTTGTTACCCTTCACTAGCTCACATTTGTAATGTCTAATGCATGGAAAGATGGAAAAACTCTCGGGGGGATGGCTGCTGTGCTGAGCAACAGCTTTAGCTCAAGCATGAAGAAATTTGTTCTTTTGTTTCAGTGTTTCCTTTGTGTCTGTATACTTCCAACTATTCCAAACTTCTCAACCCCARCTTCTTAGAAGCCTAACCCACACAGCCCCTGGTCCAGAGAGCAAGAGCTCTCTCTGGATTCCTGTAATTYATATTTATCTACAATAATGGGAGCTCTGTGTCTGCTTGTCCTCACATCCATCTGTGTTTACATAACTGATAACGAGGGCGCAACTGAAACAATAATCCAACTTTGATTACAGAGGTGTGTAATAGCATTCACAAGCCTTTATTTCACTTGCTACTTTCTAAGTTCTCATTTCTTTCTACAGAGAAGTGGGAGAAGCTGAACATAAAGATAAAACAGGTTAAGGAGAAGAAAGGGAAAGGTAGGGAGATAGGGGACAGGAGAAACAGAAGAGAGAGGAAGAAGGAGAGAAGGTGAGGAGGAACTCTGAGCAGATGATATCCTTGAACCCACCACTGAGTGTAGCCAGCCTTTRCCTCCAGACTGACTGTGAGGCACTGGCTGGTGTTCAGGKACATCTGAGGATCACTACCTGTTCCTGTCAGGTGTCTGAAAGCGTTCACAAAGCAGTTACCAAGAGGATGGATTCAACATCCAGAGTTCAATGGCTGCATTTAATCTGAG